CTGCAGCGCGGCGCGGCCGCGGAGGCCCCCGCTCGCGCTGGGGCGGGGCCCGGCACTGTGCGGTCCGGCCAGCCCTGGCGGGGTCGGCCGGCATCGGGTCGGGTTCGGAAGGGGCCACGTCGTTCTTACAGTCCCAGACATGATTGCGTTTGCGTCGTGAAGAAATCCGGACGGGAATGTGTTGGCCGTTTCCGGCCTCGGGGGGCCCTCGCCAGGCCTCGGGACCGTCACAGAAGGATTCAGGATGAAAAACCACTCCCAGGGAAAGGGTCGGGACTTCCAGGGACCCCGAATTGAAAAAATGAGGACGTCGCATGTCTGGGCTGGGAATGGGCCACATCGGTCCTACAGTAGGGGCTCGACCACGAGAAATCTGCCACAAGAGACCCAACCCTGAAACGCCAGGACGTCCATTGGTTTTTGGTGTGGAAACGTCACGCTGTCCATAGCAAAACCATCAGACCCAGGAGACCCAGGGCACCGGGGAGGCAAGCAGCGTGTTTCTTGGCATGAGTTTCCACTGCACAGTCAAAACTGATAGTGGGGATGCGCGAGAAGAGTGCTGGCCCCTTGGAGGGCCAGGCCGAAGCTGTTCGAGCGGGGCCAGCCATCGAGAGTGATTGAGGGTGCTAGGGTTGGCCGGCATCGAGTCGGGCTGGGAATGGGTCACATCGATCCTACCCTTCAGCGAGCGGGGGGAGGGACGGGCCTTCCCAGGAGGCTCAGAACTCCCCTGGCCTTCGGAAAAGTCGCCTGAGACCTCTCCGAAGACGCAGGCAATCTCTGAGAAGTCCCACCGCCTTCCCCTCCTCCTACTCCTCCCGCTCCTCCTCATCCTCCTCCTCCTCCTCCTTGAGGAGGCCCTCTCCCTCTCATTGGCCCCGTCGTTCGCCGCCGAGTAAGGATGCGCCACAAGAATGCGAGCCCCTCGGATGACCAAGCCAAAGCTGTTTCCTCTTCCACCTCGTCCATCATCGTTCCGACTCCTCATCCATTTCCATACTCCTCGTCCTCCTCCTCGTCCTCCTCCTCCTCCTCCTCCTCCTCCTCCTCCTCCTCCTCCTCCTCCTCCTCCTCCAACTCCAACTCCAACTCCTCCTCCTCCTCCTCCTCCTCCTCCTCCTCCTCCTCATCCCCCCCCTCCTCCTCCCCCTCCTCCTCCCCCTCCTTCTCAGGTTTGGCTCGAGCGGTTGCACAACCGGTTCCGCGCCGATCCCCGCCGCGACGTCCTATCGGGCCGCCATCTGCCAGGCGCGACGCCTGCCTACTCTCCTCCTTCCTATCCCCAGCGGCCTCGCGACGAGCCCGCTCCTCATCGCAGAGCGCGCAAGCAGCGCGCTAACGCCCGCACTCTTTTAAGGGTGCACAAGGCTGCGATGATGCTTTCGCAGCACCACTCCTTCCAGGGTATCCCCCAGCAAGGCGCTGTTCCTCCTACCCTACCCCCTCCGCACGCGCCACCTCTCTCGCCAACATCTGGGCTGCAGCAGCACGGTATGGCTACTTCTCCCACCCAGCGTTTGGCTGCTCCTCCCTCACCGTCTCTTTATGCCACGCGCCTTCCCATGGACTTTTTTCCTCCACCCCAGCAGCCAGTGCACCAGAAAGGCAGCGCCCCTCCCGAGTTCTGGTATTGCCTGCAATGTGGCCGGGCCAATACCACTATGGACGTCTCATGTCCCAACTGTTTTCCGACTCGGGCAGCAGGTCACCAACATGCGAAGGTCGGCCCAGCCAAAGGTCAGGGGCAGCACAGGCCCCTGCATGATGGGGGCGCGGGGCCGGGCCACAAGGGCCCTCGCTCCTTTTCCGGAAGCACGGGGGGGGTGCGCTTAGGCAAGGGCCACGCACCGACAGAGGCGCCGTCCTTCGATCAGGTGGCTGCATGGGCAGCGGAATACGGCCTGCTCCCCGCACCCCCAGGAGATCATGCGGTCCAAGAGGCTGGGATCTCCAGCAAGGAGCGCAAGAAGCGCGAGAAGGACGATGCTCGTAGAGATCGCGAGTACCAGCGCAGAGATGGGGAACAGCCTCCATCGAAGGCTCCTGGCACCCCACACGGGGCTAGGGACACAGGTATCATAGGACAGTCTCCCCAGACACAGCCTTCCCCTTTTGCGCCTCCTCACGACGGCGCGGCCACTCCCCCTACACTCTTCGGCCCAACATCTGTACAGCATTCTCCTTTCCTCGCGGCCGAACAGGCCTCCGCCTCGCTCGGCGCGCTGGATCCTGTCACTGAGCTCTCGGAGGCGGAGCTCACAGCGCAGTGCCCTACCCTTACCCCAGACGAGGCGCACTCTCACTCAGCCTGGCTTTACCCCCCGCTCGAGCCCGGCCGCCTGCTGGAGCACCGCAAGGCCCTTGCAATGAGCAAGGAGGCACTAATCCTGCAGCTTAGGGCCTCAACTCTCCTAGGACACTCCGATATGCGTATCACCGAGATCCGAAAGGAGATTTCACTAGTTAACTTTCAACTGGCCAACGCGAGGGATCCGCTGGCCGAGATTAGTGAGCAAGAGCACGTGGTGGCCTCCCTGCAGGCCGATTGTGAGCAATTGGCAGCCAAACAAGCGCAGGCGGAGGAGCACGTGCGCAACATTGCCCTGGCCATTCAGACCGCACAAGCGGACCTCAGCCAGGCTACCATGCTACTAGCTTATTTCAAGTCGCAAGCACCGCCAGCCGCCGCCATCACTGACTCGCTCATGATGGGGGACGCGGCGGAGGAGCCAGGTGCAGTACAGCGCACTGCGGCACTCTCTGCAACGCATACAGGCGAGGAGCAAGCCGATCCACATGACCTGGGAACGGCCACGCCCCTCACGGCAGCGCCGACCTCTCCCCCACTCCTCCACTGCCCTGCGCCCCTCCCAGGCATCCAAGGGTTGGAACAGCCTTGCATCACATCACTCTCCGCGGCCATGCAAAGCAACGCCGAGGCCATGGCCAGGGAGGTTGCCACCATCAAGGCAAGTTTTGACTCCCAGGCCCAAGCCATGCGCAACTCAGTAGACACCCTAGTCTCACAGATCAAGGCCGGGCAACTAGTGCCAGCCGCCACTTCTAGCCACGGCGCTACGGTCCGGGGGGGGACCACAGCGCCGTTAGGATGCGAACAGGCCCGCGCTTCCCCCAAAGCAGGCCCGCTATTCCGCCTAGGCTTCGTGCCCAAACCCGGGCCAGCGCCAGTGCCCAAGTCGCCGACAGGGGAGGCGATCACCACTGCGCCCTCGTTTCAAGATAGCTCGGTTAGGGAGGAGGCTATCAACCAGCAAAGCCCGGCAGCAGCTTCCGTAGAGGATCCCAACGGCATGCCCCCGCCTACCCGCTCTGCCAGCCAGCTGGGGTGGGACCTCTCCGATGAAAAAGGGGAGCCAGTCTCCATGGCATCCTCCCGCCGCAGCGCAAGCGCGCAGGCCGGGGGCAGATCCGCACGCGCGGGTCAGGCCGAAGAGCGCGCGCTTTCAGGCATTAGCGAGGAAGATTTTGTAGCTAGGCAGGCAGCACGCAGCAAGAGCCCTCGTGGTTCACGTCGTCCCAGGCCCGAGACAGCCGAGGCTGAGCCAAAGGCGCGTGCAGGGACATCCGCCACGTCTGCCCCACGCAGTCCTGCAGATGCAATGGCAGAAGCAGAGGCTGCGGACCTTCGAGCTGAAGCCGAGGCCCACGCGGCACAAGCTGCTCAGGACGATTTAGCCCAGGCAGCGCGCGACGGCACGGTTTTTCAGGTCGCTCCCCCGGACACTGCCCACGGGTGAACCTGGGGGGGCGGCAAGGTATACGCCGCAGCCCGCTTCCGCCCATGGGGTGGATGCTACCGGTGCTTACGGCTACCTCCATACAGTTGGTCAGGGACTTCGATGTCATTTTTCCAGCCCTCCACTCCTCCTCCATCCCCACCTGGCACAGCTTTGTCTTCGATACTCCCTACGCGGCTTTTGACTCCGCGGATATATATACTGACGCCAGCGGAGGGGCCTCCAAAGGAGATCTCGCTGGCCCGCCAGCGTGGGCTTTTCTGGTCTTTGCATGGCTTAACGGCACTCGACACTTTCTAGGCTTCCTAGGGTGTCCCACCCCGGAGACAATGGGAGCAACTAGAGTCTCCGCTAAAGCGGAATTCGATGCCGCCACCTGGGCGGCGTTATGGGCTTTACAGTCCCCCTTCCCTCCCGCCGTTCCTCTCACCTTTCACTCAGACAACATGGACGTTGTCGCCACCGCCCAAGGCGGTACCGTGGCTGAGCCACTAATGGAACATAGAAGCCGCCTCGACAGTCTGTGCAAGGCACTTGGCCTGAAGCGTCGCTTTACATGGCAGCACGTGCACGGTCACCAAGCTGACCCGCTCAACGAAATGGTTGACACGGTCGCCAGACTATACTCCCTCGCACTGCTACCTCCTCCAGTGCTCCCGCCCCTCATGAGCTTTCTCCAAGACAATGCGCACATTTTGGAATGGCTCTGGCTTGAGTGCCTTCCTCAGCAACAGCGTGCGCTTTACCCGCCGAACCATCAAGTTAGTCTCAATCCTCCTCTCCCCCCGCGCACCTCGCTTGCTGATGTTTTTCCAGGTCTCTCCAAAGAGGCAGCCCCGATCGCAGACGCCACGGCATCATGCTGTCTCAGGCTAGCCTCAGCCAACATTCTCTCTCTCACGCCTGCTTCGCGCATCTCCCAAAGAGCCAGGCTTACAGGCGTGGCCGTCAAAGGACGCCTCCACCAACTGGCCGCCGCTTTTCAACGCAATGGGCTCGACGTTATCGGTATGCAAGAGACGCGAGTCACAGCCACGGGCTCTGGCAAACGCCAGGTTCCCCCGTACGTAGTCTTTTTGTCAAAGTCTCAAGCTGGAACTCATGCTTGCGGCTGCGCGCTATGGGTCAACCTTACCACGCCCGTTTTTCCCAATGCCAAAGGCATTCCCACTTTCCCTATTAAGTCTCACAGCGTGCGTATTGTACACCAAGACCCGCGCATTATCGCGGCCGTCATCAGTCAGAACGGCCTACGTTTCAGCATCCTCGTGGCACATGCTCATCATTCCGGGCGTCCTCTCCACGAGCAGGCC